AATTTCTTAAGAAATTAGAAGGGAAAAGTTATGGAAATTTCGTTTTAAGTCCTTGTTGCTTGTGGCAAATTTTATGAAACAAGATTGGACAATTATATTTTAATTTTGTTAACATAGACTAGTTTCATGCTTTTTTCCTGCTCATCCCTCAGTTATTTTCGCAGTAAAGTTCCTAAATAAATTCTTGCCGATGAAATTTGAAATAAAATGAGATATTTTGATTGTCAGTATCAACGTAGTAAGTAGAATGTGTCTTGACGATCAGACATTTACTTCGTTCGTATAGAAACAAGTAAGAAACGAGTAGAAAGAAATATGGATACTAATGTAATAAGTTTTCAACATGACACGGTATTCCGTAAGATAGGATGAAATAAGTAAAACCAATAAATTATATAAAAATATATCTTTTAATTCTTTCGTTTTCGTAGATGCATGAATGACTACATTGTTCTATATTTAAAACGTATATATATTTTCAAACTTCGATTAAATTTCCCACCTTAATTTAAATTTCTTTAAGTACGAATGAAGATATAATCAATATTTTGTTCTCGTTTATGAAATTATATTTAACTATAACTTCTACTTTGATGTGAAATTGACGAATTAATAATTAGAGGACTGAGAATCGTAAGTCGCTCTTATAATGTTTAAAATTAAATGTATTGCTTTTACTATTATCGTTTAGTTAATTAGCAAAATGAAGTACTGTCAGTAATGAATAAAGTTAATAATTGTGACTGTGAGCTGAGCCTTGGATTATAAAAAATTTCAACTCACACCACCTAGTTCTTAGCTTTCCAATTGTTGTAGAGAGATCGTTTGTTAACAGTGCAATGTGCAAATGAACGAACTTTTTTAATTATATTTATGTCCTTTCACGTTTTAGTTGTTATTTTCAACACCTGAACATACTGTGATCAAATAATACGTCATCATACCATGGCACCTGTTAAACATTGATAAACACGTTATCGGAGGAATAATTTGAAAAACAAAAGCTACGTACGAAGGAAAGAGAATTGAAAACTTTTCATTTTATGGCAATGTTTCTTTTTTTTTCGGATTTAATTCATCAATTTTCCATTTTTATTTCTATTAGTGTCCATTTAGTGTTCCTATTTCATTTTCAATATGTTTATTCAAAGTAAGTATTTGCGCGTGATAAATAATGAAAATATTTACTTATAATAAAAATTACTTCCATATCTAATGATATCGTGTTTAAAAAAAACGATGAACCGACAGAAATGAAACTGTTGCATTTGCTTCCAAAGAATACTATAACGATAATTAAGAAAAGGAAATCGGGAATATAGCAAGATTAATTAAATTATAAAGTGATTGGTGATTACGCGTAACTCGTCTTCTTTTCAATTCACTGCACAAAAGTACGAAACATAAAAGTACAGGAAATTCTTTTACACATAGGATTGTAGAAACGACGTGAATAAATGGAATTTGGAAATAATCATCTGCCATCCTTCTACTAAATGTATTTCACATATCACAGAATTCGAGAATTCTCACCTCTATGATTTCTAATCATGTCTGATTTTGGAACGGGGAATGCGTGCACAGTTACGTTGTTAATTCAAGAACTTTTGACACGAAAATTCGTTGGCAACTATCGTCGCCTTAATATCATCCTTTGTGCCACGTTTAAAACGTGAAAAGGAAACGTTTCAATAGTCGAGAGGAAATAATCCTCGAATCGAATTCTGATTTCAAAATCGGCTTGTGAAAATACGTTGGAAAAACGCTTGCGACGGTGAGAATACTTGCTGAAGGAGGCCATTTTCAAGGAGATCCATGGTCTCCGAACGACAAAAGTCTCTAAACTTTCTGGTCGCGCGTTGCGTTAACTCGAGGGTGGCAAAAGCAACGAAAAGTAAGGGCAGTTGAGCAGATCTGCTTCGAAATTTAAAATAGCATGAAAACTTTCGGGCACGTTGTGAAAACAAAAGAGATAATTCGCGCCAGCTTTCGCGGACGAACGTCATTATTTATCGCCGTGTTGGAACGTTTGACATCTGTTACGTCGTGAAAGAAGAAGAGAAAAAACAACAGAGAAATGAAAATATGCGCGAGAGGAGAGGCTTCGTGGTTTCAGGTGTTTTCGGTCTTTAATTTCCATTTCAAGTATAACTATAAAAGCGGGGACACTGTCACTGTGCTTACATCAGTCTGAGGCAGCGAATCATGAAGATCACGTTGTACGTATTGGCAGCGTTCGTCTGCGTGCAGGTAGCGACTGCAGCCTCGAAGAGCAAGGGCGCAGCGGAAAAAGCGATAGAAGTATCGGCAGAAGCCTCGGCAGAAGCGAAAGCATCTGCAGAATTGTCTGCGGAGAAGTCAGGAGAATTATCGGCAAGCTCGAAGAAAAAAGGCAAGTCAGGAAGCCTTTCCGCCGAGAAATCCGGAAGCGTTTCCGCTGAGAAAACCACATCGGGGAAACTTTCCCTTGAAAAAGACAAATCAGGTAAGATCAAGGAATCTAATTGACTCCTTCAGCGTTTCAGGCATTCTTGAAATAATTAGTTTACTTATCAGAGATTCCAAGAGTGAAGCATCAATTTTGAATAAATATATCGTTGAATAATCAATTTTTAGACTTTTGGTAATTTCGAGTATATACAGCGATTTAATCCGTAAACTTGGAGAAACTAACCAGCGTAAATCACGTTTCATTAAAATCGATTCTGACCGTGCAAGTACTCTTTCACGAGCTGAAATCGGCAGAGAAGTTTGGTCACTGTAATACACTTATTACGATGTAATAACTGTTTCCGTCGGCGGGAAGTTTCTCCCGAATGAAAGGATATTTGCACGGCGTAAGTCGTTTTTAATGAGACGTGACATGCGCTGATTGATTTCTGAGCCCTCCAATAATGAAGAGGAAATATTCATGAATATTATATTCATGAAATTATACGATTTTAGTTTCGAATCCAAGTTTTTATATTATATTCGTAATTATATTGAAATTACATTCGTATCAAAAATCGCACAAGCATACAAATATATAAACGATTGCGTCTGTTTCGCGTTGCGAATCAATGAATAATATTTCGCAGAAGAGGGATGCGCGAATTTAGAATGGAAAGAGATCCTGGACGAGATTACAGCCATCCTTAGATGCCTGAAAGAAGGCAAAGATCTCAAGAGTTCGTTGAAGTTAAAGGAAGGTGGACAGATCTCGATCCTAGAGAAACTCAAGAAGAAGATTGCCCTGACTCTTGAATCGATAGAAAAAGGCAAACCCGCCGACGATTTATTGAAGGAAGAGGACATCAAAACCCTGAAAGAGATCCAAGAGAAGCTCGTCGTGATTGCTCAGCTGGTGCAAAAAGGCAAGGACATTAGCGGCCTCTTAAACGCAGAGGCGACTGTCAAGATCATCGCAGAATTAAAGGCCAGCATAAAAACACTTCTGAACGCGAACTTGGCTGCAGAAGAAAGTAAGAAGCTCAAGGGAGGTCTGCTGGGTTTGCTGCAAGGCAAAGGCCTGCTAGATTTGGATCTGATCAAATCGGTAACTCCTATAATCGCCGAATTGCAGAAGAAAGGCATCGATCTTGGTGCCTTGAAGAAATGGACGAACATTGGCGCCGGTGCTATAGACATAACGAGTATCCAAAAAACGGTAGAGAAAGTCACTGCAGCGTTGAACGGAGGCACCGATATTCAGAATATTTTGAGCTCGGCAGGAGCGGAGAAGTTTGGCATTAGCGCTTCGGAATTGAAAGGCCTGCAAGGAGTACTCGGCTTGGTTGGCAAGCTGGCTGCAGAAGGCGCGTTGAACCTGAAAAGTTTGTTAAACTTGCAGGGTGGCGCTAGTATAATTAATATTAGAAAATTACTTCCTCTGCCGCTGCCTTAAAAAGAAAAGTAGAAGGCAATTGTACTCTCGGAAGATTATTCTTAAGAATTGAGAAATCATGCAGGATGAAAGATAGCGAGATTGAACATTCGTAATCATTAATGAATAAATCTCGATTTATATGTATCGCGTTGATAAGGAAATGTAATTCATCGATACGTTGTAAACACAAATCTTGTATTTTTAATGAAAGTTTTAATACAATGCGCAAGTATTAAGAAGCATCAGTGGCACGTTTATTTCTATATTAATATATAATCCCTGCGTCCCTGTAATTTGCGTGCAATGCGTTCACGAGAGAGAAGTATAGACACAAGTTCACACTGAATGTAGATTTAGTTGCAGCCGTAATTTAGATTTAGTTGCCGAGGGAATTGAAGATTTTATTAGTTTGCTAGAATGTAAATTTGATAGATATATTGAAGTTTGCACACTTATACGAACTTCACTGCTTCAATTTTCATCAGTTTCTCTATTTAACGTTCGATTAAAATGTAATTTTTCTGGCCACAGAGAATTAATCGTCGCTCATTTTTCGTCACGCAGATTTTATTTTCAAATTCAATTATAGCTTGTATTGTACAGTGTATTAATACCTTTCTCTACTTGCATCGAAAACAAATCAAATTTAGTACTGTAACACAAAGTCAATATCATTTAAAGAAATTTAGAGGGACCTTTTCCACGGTTGAAAAATCAAACCCAATAAAACTCAATCAATTCTTTCGTTAAGCAATACCCTGCGAAGCAAATTCAATTTGCAAACGGTATTTCTGATATTTCGTCAGCGACGGGAAAAAATCGTGCACTACCGCTATCGCGAGGAACCAATAGAACTTGGTGCAAAAATATCAGAATTATCATATAAATACGACATGACAAAACCAATCAGAGTACGCGCGGCTTGTTTTGGAAGTTTTTCCCTAAAATCTTACGCAATGTTTAAAGCATCGATATCGTTTGTTCAGTTGCAGTAAAACCAGCAGTGAAGTTTTTTCCGTTATAGAGATAAGAGAATGAAAGAACTGATAGCAGAGAATGTGTTTTCTCTCAAAACATGACGTTGAGAATGAATCGAGTATAAAGTAAATTCATTGCATGCACGAGCTTCAATCCCTGAAACACATAAATTTCATTCAAATTTCATTCAAATTTCATTCATGTAATTCGAGCTTGGATATTATTTAAATAAAATATTTCAATCAAGTTTCTATTTCACACTTTTTTGTTTCGAGTGAAATTCATCGAGATCTATCGTCACTTTCGGAAGTTTCCAATTTCCTAGATCAACTGGCAGGCTAGTAGTTTCAAATTTTTATCACACTTTTTATCAATACAACGTAAATCGGATTTCCTAGCAGTATAACAATAACAAATTCAATCGAAATCTCTCTTAAGATTGTTCTATCCCTGTGTTTGTTAATTGGATACGATATTTATTAATTTTTCGAATATTTGGAGAACAGAGAATGGGAAACGAAGAAAAATTATTGTCTCACGATAATGAGATTATCGAATTATTCCATTAAATAGTCTCGCCCTTACAAGTTTTCTATCGTCGAAAATAATTAAATAACAAATGTCAAACTATCTGGAAAATGTCCTAGAACGCAGTTTATAAAATATTTCCATCACACGGCATACTTTATTCATGTTAGTTTGAAGTCTTGAAAAGTAGTTTCTGCCAAGTCCTTTAAGTATCTTGCATTTAGTACGAAATACTTATTAGCATGAAACGAGACATGAATCATTCAGCTTTCTTTACGTGCGAACTATTCAGTCATAATGTTAATGAAATAAACCCAAAAAATATTTATGTGATTCGACTAAAACGAGAATTGTTACATGAATTTTAATCGTTGTTGCCAGCATGAATTTACGGTGATTCGAAAATACGTGAAATACGTGCATGCAGATATTGAGATCTTCGACAGAATACGGCTGTTTGCTTGAATGAAAATATTAAACGTATCTTACTTTGTCATTTTGTGATTTATCAAGAACTCATAATAGTGAAATTGAAATGAAATCGATACATTTCCAAGAAAAGAAATATCGAGATAGGATGCTGTATATAATTCAAGTCACAAGTCTTTTCTTCAGGAAAATATCAAGCGTTATATTGAAATTTAAAAAAGCTTCTCTCCTCCAGAATAAAATAATTCTCTATTTTCTTTTTTTTTTTTTTTTTT